CTGGCACCTTACAGCAGCTGGCCTGGTGGGGCTCCCTGGGCCCCTCGCCTGCCCAGGAAACCCAGTTCCCCGCCTGCCAGGTGGAATCTATGTCCCTGTCCCTTGCCACAGAGCCATTTCATTCTGCCCCCCTTCCTACTCCAGGCAGTGGAGATGGAACCCAGGTCCTCACACAGGCCAGGCAAGCATTCTACCACTGAGCTACACCTCAGCCCTTTTTTATTTTGAGATAGGATGTTGTTAAATTGCCTAGGTTGACTGCAAATTTGTAATCCTCCTGCCTCAGCCTCCTGAGAGGCTAGGATAAGGAGTATGTCCCACCATGCCTCCCTTTTTTGTCACTTTTTCTTCCTTAGTGATTTTTTTAGATGGTATTTTGCCAAATTGACCAGGCTGGCCTTGAACTCAAGTGCTCACCTCACCCTCCTGCCTCAGCCTCCAGAGCAGCTGGGACCATAGGCATGTACCGCTGAGTGTGGCTACCTCCTTAGTAAATCTGAGGCCAGCCTCAGGTTTTGTACCTTTTGTCCTCTTGTTGGTTTCCTCCCGGGGTCACCTTCAGGATCCTAGTGGGGCCAAAGGTGACGAGCAGCCCCCATTCTAGGGCCCTGGCCGCCCTGGGACAGGGTCTCTGGCTGGGCAGGGGCAAGGAGAAGTGAGGCTGGGCAGGGGGGACAGGAAGAGGCGCAGAATGGGACAGGACGGAAGGAGGAAGGCCAACCCACTGGGGAACTGAGAGTAGCCGTTCCTCCACAGGCCTGGGCAGTGGATGCGGTGACTCAAGCTGCCACTGCAGGGGCCCTGGACATCCCCAGGAGCCTCACTTCACCCCACTGCTCAGGGGCCCAGGGGCCCTCTTTGGCATTGGAGGAGAGGAAGGGCAGGGCAGAAGTGCAACCCGCCCCCAGCTCTGGGTCCCGCCCCCACCCTGCACAGTTCAGCTGGGGAGGGGCCTGGGCTCAGACTTGGGGCTCCCAGCTCTGCCCCTTATCCTCCACTCTGACCTGCTGTGCTGGCCCACTGCAGACTCTCCTGCCTCTGCCCTGTTCAGGACACCCCAAGGTCCCCCCCACTCCACCAACCACTACGGCCGGCTGGTGACAGTGCCTTCCAGTTCCAGGCAGCTTCCAGAGCAGCCCAGGGCGGGAGGAGGGGCCTGGGCAGCTGCTCCTCCCTTGGCTCCCAGAGGGGGCTGTCCAGGCTCCACCTTCCTCCCAGGGGCAGACTGTCCAGCAGGGCCTGCCCTCACGCCTCAGATTCCCGGGGAGGTCCCCAGCTGGCCCTGTGGCCTGCCCCTCCAAGGTCCCGTACATGCCCCACCCACCCAGGACACAGGCCATGGTGGCCTGGAGAAGTCAGCAGAGCTCAGAACCAGGCTCTGGCAGGGACTCTGGACAGCTGCTTTGCTACCCATGGAAACGACAGGCTCCTCCGTGGGAATTTTGGGGACACCTCACACACACAGACACACACCCCTGCAGCATGCCACCAGCAGAAAACCCAGCAAAGCAGCCGGGCGGGCAGCACAGGTGGTGGGGATGGGGCTGGAGCAGGAGGAAGCACCAGGGACATGGTCACCCCGATCTCACCGTGTCTCCACCCCACCCCGCCTCCATGGGTTTGTCCCTCTCTGTAACCTCCACATGTGGCTTCTCCCCGCCCAGCTCCACAGGGCAACACTGTAGGGGAGGAGGCGTGGGTGAGCCCAGCTCCCACCCCAGAAGGCCCATGTGGGGCGCCGCCATGGCACCTCAAACCCCATCCTGGTATGCTGCCCCTGGGCCTCAAGTGGGCCAGCTCTGAACAGCTTCCGGGTGCACAGTGCAGGGACCTTGGCATTGGGCAGGGCCCAGAGGCTGGCGGCACCAGGGTGATCCTTCTTCAACCATCCTTCTGGGCACCGGAGGGCACAGCCACTGCCAACCACAGCACCTGACCATCCTGGTGACAGCCTCCAGGAAATGGGAAAGGTCAGTCTCTCAGACCAGGCCAGAGCCCCTCAGCCGGGTGTAGCGGGCTTCATTCTAGACCTGGTCACTCAAGCTACCCCGGAGCCTCCTGCCCCTCTGGTTCCACTCTGGAGGAGCCCCAAACCCCATGTGGCAAGGAGCAGGTGAAGACTGGGGTCCCAGCCCTGAGGTGCTGGGCACAGGGTGCCAGGGTGAGGGCCCTTGAGCAGTGTCCTGTGAACCAGGCAGGATGCAGACAGGATGAGGTGGACGGAGACAAACCCAAGGAATAGGCGGCTAGTGGGGTACAGCCCTGCCAAGGGTGCACAGCTCCTTGGGGCTCCTCTTGGTCAGTGGCTGGGCCCCGACGCGTCATTCAGAAAATGAAATGCTGCGACTTTGGGTGTGGCCACATGGTGCCCCCACAGCTGGAGTTCTGTTCCCACCAGGCCTGTTTTCCCATCTGTATGGCTGGCTGCAGACGCCCCAGAGCCTGGGCCCAGAAAGGCTGGCAGCTGGGCCCACAGGTGAGGGTGGAGCTATGCTAAGGTCAAAGCTGCTGGTCTGACTGGAAACTGCCAACGGGGAGCCGGCTTCCAGGAGAGTGGCAGGTTTGCATCTAACATCAGAGGACACTTAAACACAGCAGCAGCGACGCCCACTGTGCCACCCGCTTCAAGACAGCAGGAAGTGCCCAGCTTGCAGTGGCCTCATCCCTTGACAAGCCCTGCAGGATCGGAGCTCAGATGCTGCAGGAGTCCCCAGGCTGACAGGGCAGGGTCAGGCACACAGGTCACTGTGCCAACTTCCCTTGGGCTGGGCTGGGGACCAAGGAAGCACACAGCCTCCTAAAGTGGGGTTCACCTAGAACAGCCAAGGCCTACCCAGCCCTTAGACTGCCAGACCAGTCCTGACCTCGTCCTCTTCCTAGGCTGGGGACAGCACAGTGAGGACCAGGGCCTTAGCAGAGCCTGCACCTGGCTCCGGAAGGCAGGCCCCAGGGGCAGCCCAGAGCGTGGAACAGTGTCATGAGATCATAACACCCCTTTGCCCAGGTGGGAACAACACCACAAAACAGGGTCAAGGGCAGGAATGTCCAAGAGGGCCTGTAGCTCCACCTCTGTGGCCTCTCCCAGTAGGCCGCTCCTTCTGACAGTCCCATGGGTTTGACCCCATCGAACCTGCTTACACAAGAAGGGCACCACCACCAAAATGCAGGCGCTGCCAAGGCCTGGAATGCAGCGGGTCCAGGGAGGCTGGCTCAGCCCACCGTGAGGAGCACACTCCTCGCCTTGGCCAGCACTTCACCAACCTGGCAGGCCGGGCGCAGGCCCTGCCTCCCTCCTGGGACTGAACAGGCCAGCGCCTGCACTCACGCAGTGCCCCACCCTGCAGAAGCTCAGCAACGCACAGTAAACATCTGATTCACAAGGAAGCCAGGGCACTGCTGGGAATCCACTAGGCCGCAGGGAATCTGGGTGTGGACCCCCACTGGCTTCACAGGCCCACTGCCCCAGGCAGCCAATCCCCACCTTCTGGGAGAGTAACTGCAAGGGTGATTGAATAGGACCTGTCCAGCCATGGCCGCCCACGTGGGCCTTGGCCAGCAGCCAGCCAGGGCAGGGAGGTCCAGCTGGTGCTGACCACTCCAGTGGCCTAGGAGCTGGGATCCCAGAAGTCACAGCACATGGGGAGGAGGAGGTGGCAGGTGCAGTGGGGAACCTGGATGCCCACACAGGGGCACTGACGGGGCTGAAGGCTTACAGGGAAGGGCCACAGCCTGGGCGGACTCCAGGCCCCCAAAGCAGCCACAGACCACTCTAGTCACCCCAAGCACCACCCTGTCCCTCACTCTGTGGTGGTCCACAGAGCGCAGAGATGCCTCCTCTTGTCTGCAAACCTCCTGTGGAGGTACCCAGGCTGCCTAGTGCTGGCCAAGCACCCTTGGCTATCACAGAGCCATCGGCTGGCCAGTCAGTGACAGCAGGGGCTTCCACAGGCACTGATCTGTGGTGTCCCCACAACAGACCTTTGAGGAAAAACCCAGGAGGTGCCAGGGTGTCCCTAACACTGGCCACTCCTGATGGATTCAAGCCTTTGCCTGTGAAAGGCACACAGGGGGCAGAGGAGAATCCTGGCCTTTACCCCATGCCCTGCTCCCTGCACATGGCTGAGCAGGGCTGGTCGCGCTGGCCCTGTCTGAGGACCACCAGAAAGCTGCCAGTAGCCCCAGGTTGCTCAAAGCCACCATGAGATGGAAAGGGGTTCGCAATCCTCTACACAGGAGGTGGCAGCAGCAGCTTCCTGGACAAGGTCAGCAGCCAGTAAGGGTGTGAACGGGATTTGAACCCAGGACCCCAGCTGACTCCTGCTCTCCTGCCACCCTTCTGTGTACAAGGGTGGCCGTTTTGTCCCTCTGGGCCCCTGGGCTTTCCATTTGTAGACCTGCATGTGTCTGTGCCCCCGTAGGACGTGGGGGTGCAGAGGGCTGACTCAACACCCCACTTCCTCTGTCCATGTGAACAGGAAGGGCCAGGGCAGCCTGGAACCCCTTCCTTCTCTCTCAGGCTGGCCTCCGTGAGGGACCGCAACTTGTCCCTGTAGGTCGGGATGCCCCCTAAAAGTCTAGGGCCCTGGGTGGGGCCTGCACCCTGCCAACATGTGCCCCAAACGGACACAGGGCCAGAAACCGGGAGGGGGCAGTGCAGGGGGCCCCATCTGCCTTGGCCCTGCCAGTGTCCGGCAGAGGGGGCAGTCCAGCCCCTGTGGTCAGTGCTCCCCAGGTGGCATGGAGCTGGCTCTGCGCCTCCCTGACCCAGGTCCTGCCCCAGCCCGCCTCTTGGTCACCATCACTGGACCGCAGCTGACACCGGGAGCCCCTCCAGGTAACCCGGCCGTCCCTCGGCCAGGGTCACTGCCGGGGTAGTCGTCCCCGGTGGAGATGGGTGAGCCGCTGAGGCACAGAGGGGCACGGGGTGGCCCAGCAGGCTCAGGCCCTGAGCTGCAGGAACCACAGCTTCCCAGCTCCAACTCTCCGTCCCCTCCACCAACCTCGGCGTGAGTCCGCACCGACAGGTGGGTCGGAAAGTTGGTGTCGCGGGAGGGGTCAGAGCACATTCCCCGCCTGGGCCCCGAGGGCGCTGGGTGGGTCGCGTCACGGGGCGCAGACCGCAGTCGCCAGAGGGGAGGAAGGACCGGGACCGGGACACGCGGACCGACGCAACGACTGCCCC